TGAAGGAAAGAAGATATAGTAAAAATCAAAGTATCTTATACAGAATATTGATATTCTATAACAAAAGATAACTTGAAGATAGTTATGATTATGTAATATGTGCTCAGTCCTGAATCTATGACTTCTCTGTCCAGTAAAAGCATTTGGGAAATCTCTAATGCAGAAATAAGACACTTTTTGCAGTTATCAGGTAGATTTCTAAGCTTTATTAATCAGTGTTGACAGTGTTAAGTAAAACACTACATTTTACTGCTCTTTCTGCTTCCATTTCTTTTTTTTTAATCTTTTTTTATTAATCATTTTTTTTATTTTCAGCATAACAGTATTCATTGTTTTTGCACTACACCCAGTGCTCCATGCAATCCATGCCCTCTCTAATACCCACCACCTGGTTCTCCCAACCTCCCACCCCCCCAACTCTTCAAATCCTTCAGATTGTTTTTCAGAGTCCATAGTCTCTCATTGTTCACCTCCCCTTCCAATTTCCCCCAACTCCCTTCTCCTAACTCCCCATGTCTGCTTCCATTTCTTTAAGTAAACCCTGGTCTAGTCCACAAAATTTTTGTTTCCAAAGAAAAAAGTCCAGGAATAAGCTAAGGCTACAGATCACACAAAAGAAAATGTCCTGTGGTAAGTCGTCTTTCTACATACCACAACATCTGCTTTCTCCTTGTTGTATTTTATTTCATGCTGTTTTGATTGTCATCAATCAGGAGGACAATTCTACTCTTTGTTTGATGACTGGCCTGTGCTTCCAAAAGTGAAGAGCTCAGTGAAACAGAAGCTGCAGCAGTTGAAAACCAGGTCACAAATGTGAATGAGACAAAGTGAGAAATGGCTCTGAAGCTTAACAAACCAAGAAATACTAGATGCAGGTGATGCAGAACAGAGAGGACACAGTAAGGATAATAGAGCCTCATACTCAAAATAGGAGAAGGATCCAACTGAAGAAATAATAAACATTTTTAAAGAAATTGATGTGTATGTATGTGTGTATAAATATTCACTATTTGTAGGAAGGACTCTAGGTCCAAAAACTCCCTTTACTAAGAGAATGTTGATATGTGTAAAGTAATAAAAGAAAAATGTTTGCAAAGAAAGAAAAAATAAAGAACAATGTCTTACCTTAAAAAAAAAAAAGAAAATGTGTTTTTCTACTTTCAAAAACAATTAGTATATGATTTACTTGCCCAAAAGGCTTCTGCAGCATACCAAATCCAGTAGATCAGTTTGTGAAGAGCCATTAGAATTAGCACAGTAAATTCCCTGTAAGACATTCTTTTGCAACTAGATAAAAATCTTTCATAATCAAAAAATCAATTTTGGGGGCACCTGGGTGACTCAGTGGGTTAAAGCCTCTGCCTTCAGCTCAGGTCATGGTCTCAGGGTCCTGGGATTGAGGCCCACATTGGGCTCTCTGCTCAGCAGGGAATCTGCTTCCTCCTCTCTCTCTCTGTCTGCCTCTCTGACTACTTATAATCTCTGTCTATCAAATAAATAAATAAAATCTTAAGAAAAAAAAAGTCAATTTTGATATGGAAATGGAGGTCAGTGAGGTTTTTTCCAAGTTTTTAAAGATGCTTCAGTCAAGTAAATACCACATTTATTCCCTTTCTAAATTTTTCTCCCCTCTTTTTGTAAAACACTAGAAATGAACAAGGAAAAGGGGCTCAGTATTATAAAATCTACTGCCACACCCAGGATAAGAAGCATTCCAAAAAACTCCAACAAAAGAGAAAGCAAATGGCAGAGATTTGATTTGGTAATATGCATGCACTCAATTTTTGGCTCTTTTATCTATATACAAAGTTAAAATTTTGTGATCTCCAGTTTCAATTTGAAAATATGCCCTGTACTAAAGATTAAACAAACAAAAAATTTTTTTACTACAGCAGTCCCAAAGAAAGATGAGACACCTGCCAAATATCAAATCAAAAAACCTGAATATCACCCAATTCCTTCTTTTCCCTTACCTTCCATTTCTTCTTACCAAGTTGTCTCAGCTGTATTTCTGAAATATTGGCATCTCTTTCACCTCCACTGCGATTGGGATGTCAAATCCATCTTTACCTTTAAACTCCTATAACAGCATCCTAGCTAATCTCCCTGTTTCTACCCTTGTCCTCCTCTACTCAGTCTCCACAAGCAGTACACATGATCCTCTTAACTTAAATCTCATCATGCCATTCTTCCACTAAAACCATTACAAGTTTCCCATTTCACCCAAAATGAAATACAAACTCCTAGGCCATGACCCTCCCATGATCCAGATACTTTGATTCTGTAAGCACACCTCCTTTCACTCTTTCTCTCCATCACACATTCCATATATACTGATCTTTCTGACCCTCAGATAAGTCATGCTCTCTCCTACCTTATGCATAGCCTTTGTATTTTCGTTTTCTCTTCCTATAAAGACCTTCCCTCAACTCTTGGATTTTTGTTTTAGTTTTTGTTTTTAGGATTTGAAGAATACATTGGTGTAAAAAATTCAAACAATACCAAAAAACCATATGGAAAGAAACAACCACTAAGAATGACCACCCAAAGAGAATTTCCATTAATACTTTGAGGATAATCTGTTCTTACATCTCTCTATGGATTCATATGCTATTATATACTGTATATATAAATAATCTTCCATAAATTCCAACTCTTTCCAAACTGGTTCTTTCTTGTACATTAGTTCTCAACTCAAATACCACCTTCTCAAAAGAGGGACTGTTCCTCTCTATATCACCCTGTTTATTTTCTTCACTGCACTTCTTTGTTTACTTGTCTCTCATTTTTTATCTGTTCAATCCCCCATAGAATGTAAGCTCCATGAAGGCAGAGATCTTGTCACTACTTTCTCAATCACGAAGGTCTAGCCCAAGACTGAACACACTGCAGGTGCCCAATATTTACTGAATGAACATATGGTGGCTCTGTTTAACATTAATAAGGTGCCAAACCCTAAATTAATATCTCCCATTCAAATTTATCTCCTGCGCTTCATACTCATACTTAATCATTCCACTTGTCTAAATAGAAACAGGTATTTTAGTCTCAGTGAGCAAACCTGTTCTTCCTCATAGGAGTCCCTATTTAGATGGTATTCCCTATTTAGACAAATGACACTACCATCAAACAAATATCCCAAGCCATACATTTAAATTCTATCTTTGATGCAATTATTCCCCCTCACCTCACACCCACTGAATCACCACCAAGAGCCTCTCCATACTACCTCAATTCTACCTCCTAAGACTCTTCAATACTCATTCAAGTCTCATTCAGCCCATCTGTTTCTCTTCCACTCTCCTGACTCCACTCAATAGCAAATCACTGTCACTCATTTTTCCCCAGACAACTGTAATAACCTAACTTGCTGCTTTAGAACCATTCTTATTCCCCTCTAATTTATTCTCCATGGTGTAGCCTCAATAGTATTTTCAAAATAACAGTATGATCACATCATATCCTTCATAAAAAACTTCAATGGCTTCCCATTACTCTTAGGTTAAATCTTAAAATCCTTATCATGCATTATAAGGCCCACAAGAAATACTCCTTGCCTAACCACCCAGACTTTCCCTATAAACCAGTCTTTGGCCTTCTTTCAATTCTTTAAACCTACCATTCTCTATTCCCCTCATGGCTTTCATATATGCTGTTCCTTCCACCTAAAAGATTATCCACCAAGTCACAACACCCTTGCAACACATAATCATCCTTTGGGTATCAAACTCAAAGGCCACTTCCTCAGGGAGGCTGTGGTAGGCATAAATCTAAAGCTATCTCTCTTCCTCCCCAAGATTTCCATCCTCTGTTATACAATCAAACATTAATCTAGGTATTGTTGTGAAAGGACTTCCCAAATATAATTAAATATTACTCAGCTGATTCTAAGCAAGAGAGATTATCCTGGATTATCCTGATGGGTCTAATATAATCAGTTAAACCCTGAAATGCAGAGCTTTCTCTGGGCTGAGGGCAGAATTGGAAGTCAGAGAGATGCGGCACAAGTCAGCAAGCAACCTGACTAAACCTGGAAGATTCTCCCCCTAAAAGATTCCACGTAAGATCCCAGTCCAACTGATTGAGTACCCTGATTTAGGCCTGCAAGACTTTAAGCAGAGACCCCAGTCAAGCCACCTGGATATCTGATCTACACAAACTGTGATACAACAGATGGGTGTGCTCTAAGCTGCTAAATTTGTGGGAACAATAGAAAATGATTATAAAGACTTCCCTGACCCCCACCTCCACCACAGATAGTGTTAGAGCCTCTGTTAAATGTTCCCATAGCATGTGACACTTCTCTTTCATAATATGCATCATACTTATTACTTAATGTATGCTGCCTAAGATCTACATTCAGAGATTTTGTATTTTTGTATACCATACACCATTATATTCCCACACCTACAAAACTGCTACTTATAAATGTTTATAGAGTGAATAAACCAATTTCTTATTCATCTATCTCCCCAAAGTCTCAAACATGACACACCTTCAGTAAATGCTATATTATAAAATATTGCTATAAGGGTCAGTTGCTTTATAGCAGTGACTGAAAAGAGAGGAAAAGAGATGGGATGATTGGAATATATTCAGAATCACTGGGGCAGTTTTTTGTTTGTTTGTTTGTTTGTTTTACAAACCCTCTCTCACTTACAACTACTCACAATCTGAAATGCCCACTCCTTGCCCTATATCCTGGGGGGGGGGGGGGGGGCATGACCATCTATTAGAGAATTACAAAAGATTCCCATATAGAGCCATTATTACTGAGTCATATTCCTAATGTCACTGAGTCATATTCCTCAGGTATGCTGAATTGTAAATTAAGGTTTAACACACAAAGTTGGTTTACTTTTTTAAAGAAATGCTTTGCAAAAGGAAAAAAAAGCAAATTTACTCTATCTGAAACATTACTATTTCACAATAAAGAGAGACTGAATACATTTTAACTGGTCAAAAAGAGGAAAAGTCAACTGAAAGAACAATTTACTTACATCAATGGAAAAGCAAAAAATGGAAGTGTCATGGCAAGTCTTGCTGTAAATTCATCAGGAAGATACCACAAATATACAATTAAACATGTAAACAGATAAAGAACTGAAGAGTAGAGAATTAATCTTCCAACCCATAATTTTTGTAATCTCTGATTTTTTTCCCTAAATTCTTCCAATGCTTGAATTTCCTGTTAAGAGAAATTGTTCTATATTATTGAATTGAATCTCAAATTTCATAAAGAAATCAAAATATTAACAAAATTTTTAAATGATCGATTATATATGAAGAACTCTGAAAAGTCAATGAAATATATCTTAATATTTTAAAAAAACAATATGAAAAAGAAAATTAGAAATAAAGTTAAAAACATATGAAAATCCTTATTCTGACAAGTCACTATTTTATTCCATTTTATTTTTCAAAGATTTTATTTATTTATTTTGCAGAGAGAGAGAGAACACAGCAGAGGGAATTGGGGAGGGAGGAGGCTTCCCACCAAGCAGGGAGCCTGATGTGGGGCTCAATCCCTGGGACCATGACCTGAGCCGAAGGCAGATGCTTAAGGACTGAGCCACTCAGGCACCCCAACAAGTCACTATTTTAAATGCAAAATTAAGGGATGCCTGAGTGGCTCAGTAGGTTAAGCATCTGCCTTCGGCTCAGATCATGATCCTAGGGTCCTTGGATGGAACCCCATGTCAGGATCATTGTTCAGCAGGGAGGCTGCCACCCACCCTGCTTGTGCTCACTCTCTCATTTTCTTTCTCTCTGACAAATAAATAAAATCTTTAAAAATAAATTTTTAAAAAATTAAGATACTATTTTTGACCGACCAAATTAGCAAAGATCAAGCATGGACTTGACACCAATAAATAGTACTTCTTAAACTAAATAATAATTCTTGCTGTATAAGGTCTAAAAAAAAATGGCTAGAAATTAATCAGTTAATTTTAAAAATCTGGCTATGAAAAAGAGTTAATAAAAATTAAAACACTGACCCATACTAGATTCTTTCAATCTATTCATCACTCTCAATATTCCTAAGCAATAGCCACTTTTGATAATGAAGTTTATGAAGTTTCTGGACTGATAAAACTGTTGCAGACTATCTTATAATCTACTTCATCCTATCTGCAACATTGTTTTACACCATTCTATACATCTAATTTCATACTACAGGTTCTAGTGATACAGACTTCTTAAGTCACTGAGAGATTTCTGATTTTTTTTAGATAATATAACATTAAAGTTTTCAGGCTTACTCTATATCATCTCTAAATTCCCAAGCCAGATCCAGTCTCCAAAATAATATACTTATACTAAAATAATATTTATGCAATACCCAAGATGAATTAAAACACCCAGAGCCAAAAAACATACCTTATCGATATTTTCCAGAACTTCTACAGTTGAAGGTTTTGTCTGTTATAAAAACAGATATGACATTAAAATTTGTTACTGCAAACTTAGAAACACTTTGACTTATAAAATCATAAAAGAACATTTTAATTCAAAAATAAGTTTTTTCAAATCTCAAGTAATATGTATTCTTGTTTATTGAGATTTAGATTTAAATAAAATTATAATTATAAACAGAACTACATAATGTTATAGAAGTAAGCATTTTCCTACTTGGGTTTTTAGTCCTAAAGGTACTTTCAACTCCAACAGCTCAATTTCTACCATTCTTTTTTTTTTTTTTAATTTCTACCATTCCTAATCCCAATAGAACATGCTTTTATAGAGAAAGTTTTCCTCCAAGAAAAATTCTCTTAGATACAATTATTCAAAGAAATCATATATTTAAAAGCTCAAGACTAAAGATGGTCTGATCTACTATTGCTAAAAGTTCACTTAGGACTCTGAAAGTCAAAATCAATAGGTTACCTTCATTCTGAATACCTAAAGTATTTTTCTGAAGATCAGCTTTTTAAAAGACATCTAAAAATACTTCATTATAGCACAGTTTGTTAAAAATATTTTTTATGCACCCACAATAAAAACCAGCCAAAATATCTCATACAAAATGTCTCATATAATACCAATTATATACTCAATAACATAAGAGGGCAGTGGATATCAATTCATTATAGTTCCCATAAGAGTTTTTAACATTAGGTTGAACCATATGAAATTGCTTTTTATGTAAGTCAAAACGGTTGAATATTGGCAATTTCATATGGTTCAACCTAACAAAGACAAAGGAAAGGTAGACAAATTTGATCCTAGATAGACAAATTTGATCCTCAAGCAGAACTGTAATAGAGTTTTAAAGGGAGGAGCAGAGAGTTAATAGAATTTCAATCCAAAACAAAGCATTTCCATAACAGTCCAAAAATTAGTCTACCAAGTATTGCAAGTCTTGTTATGGTAAAAAGGAGTTAAAAATAAGCAAAGTAATTTCTCTGAGACTACACTATCCTCTCTCATATTAGAAAAGAACATTTATTAACATATCTTATATTTTATAGCACTAAATAGGAGATACTTCCTCTAAAGACTTAACCAATAAAATCAAACTGCATTTCAAATTTTCTTTAAGCTTTAATTCCTAAAAGTATACTTAGTATGACTTCAGCAAATACATAATAAAAGATATAGCCCATAAAAACATTAAGTATTATACAGCATACAACTATAATTTCAAATAGTTCAACAATAACAGTAATTTCAACTATTTTTCAAATAAGATTGAAATGTAGGCAATATAAGAAGAAAACAAGAAAATGTAACCATTTGCATGTGAATGCATAAATAAATTAAAAAATCCACAAGTCAAAGTGAAATAATTATGTTAAACAGTCATTAAGATACCTATATAGCAAGTGGAACTATTAAAGTCCAAATATACAACTAATTCATCAGAGAAGAAAATTAAATAGAATTAGGGATAATATCAAGCTCTACTCAAGGCTATAGCACAAAGGAGACTTTACAAGTAGGTTTATATGACACTTTATATTAGACTAAGAATTGGATGTAAAGAAAACTTACCCTCCATCGAGAAAATAATCCACCCATCTTTTATGTGTAGAAGACGAGCACAGTGATAAATATCATCAATTGTCCAAAGGAATTCACAACTAGAAATAAAGCAAGTATTTAAAAAATTTTTAAGTTAAACACACACTATACCCACTATAAAATTTAGATGTTGCAATACTGCCTAAAAATACTATACAATATTAATTTCTTTGAACTCCCATTTATGTGGAAGTTTAGTTCAGATAGTCTTGGGATAGAATCTACCCTTCAAGAAATCCCTTCTTCCATGCCAGAACACATTTAAAAGTGAAAATATAGCTGAAAAGGCTTTTAAAAGGCAAGGCATTTTAGGAGTGTATATTCATACCACTTTGCAACTTGCTGTTCTTTAAAGTAGGTCCCCTAATGTAAGAGACGTTTTACCATACTACTTTCATTCTACATGCTTAGATACAACGTTTCCATCATTCAGCTATCTCCCAACTAAACTAGTTACTCAGAATTAGGGGTTCTTACAATGTTTAGAATATTATTTTACAAGTAATAACAGAAAGCCCATGGATTCTGAGTAAGAAAATAAAGTTTACAAGACTACTAGTGAGCTTGAGCAAATCATTTAATGCTTTTGAGCTTTAATTTTCTTTTCTGTAAATTAGACTTAATATACCAGCACTTTTCACAGGATAGCCTTCATTATTACCATTTTACAGATAAGAAAATTAAGTAAAAAGACATTCAGAGATTGGCTCAGAAGAAACAGGATTCAAAGCTACTATCTTCAGGGACACATGGGGGGCTCAGCGGGTTGAGCATCCGACTCTCTATTTCAGCCTGGGTCATGATCTCAGGGTGTGAGATGGAGCTCTGAGTGGGCTCTGTGCTGGTTATGGAGCCTGCCTGGAATTCTGTCTCTTCCTCTCCCTCTGTCATTCTCTCTCTAATTTAAAAAAAAAAAAAAAAAAAAAAAGCAGACAAACAAAAACCACACAAACTACCCTATCTTCAGACTTCCAGTCTGTTCACTACTGATCCAATACTCAAATAAACATTTCTCTCTGAAATTGTGTCTAAGCTGGGGCACCTGAGTGGTTCAATTGGTTAGGTGTCTGCCTTCAGCTCAGGTCATAATCCCAGAGTCCTGGGATTGAGGCCCATGTTGGGCTTCCTCTGTGGGAGCCTGCTTCTCCCTCTCCCTGCCACTCCCCCTACTTGTACTCTCTCTCTGTGTCAAATAAATAAATAAAATCTTAAAAAAAAAAAAAAATTGTGTCTAAATCCCTAAAGCCAGTTGACCTTCATGTCAGCTAGCTGTGTATCTTTGTCCTTCTTATAATCATTTTTCTGTGACTCTCAAATGTATTACAATATTACCATGTGGATGAAAATGTATCAGCCATCTTAGATTCTATATCAATTTACCAGCCCATAATTATGGATCTTTTTTATTCTTTTATATAGAAATAGTGAAAGTATACTTTCAAATTTACATATTTTTACCAGAAATAGTTACATACTGTCAGTGTATAAAACTACTTCATTCCACACACAAAAGAAGTTATGCCATAATTCTCACATTTTTTTAAGACCATTAATGTAATAAAAAATGATGCCAGTACCAAGGAAATACATTCACTCTGCAACACTCTTTATAGATTAGAATTAGCATAAGGCATACCAATCTTGAACTTTCTTGGTTAGAGAAATAACAAAGATCCTAATTACAAATACTTCCACTTTACAAAGTGATTTCTAGGACCAGAAATAACTATAAACTATCCTAAAAAATTTTGGTGTTTATAAACGAATGTTACAAGTCACATTTAAATTGCAACCTAAGAACTATTAATCCTTCAATATTAACTCAGTATTCAAATTTCTAAAATGCAGTGGTAGGAAATCCAGAAAATTTAATGAATAGAAGTATAAATCTCTCAGTTGAAACATTAAATAGATCTTAAAACCTTCTTAAGATGCTAAAAATACTCACCAAGAAAGGTGACTGGTTTGGGGGCAATTTATATGAACCACTGAACTCGGTACTTTAAAAGTATATAGTATTTGGGAACTAATTGTATGGTAACTAGCACAGTGTTTTATATATAACTGACCCACACATTTTGGTTTGTAACAGTTATATGCCTCCGAGTTAAGTTTATACATATTAAAAATTGGAATTTTTAATATTTAAAGGTAATAACAGGGGTGCCTGCCTGGTTCAGTCAATAGAGCATGGGACTCTTGATCTTGGGGTCATGGGTTCAAGCCCCATGTTGGGGGTACAGTTCACTAAAAAATAAATAAATAAATAATTTTTTAAAACAACATTTAAAAAAAGTAATGACAACAGTAAAGATACCAGTTAAATATTTGATAAATACTTTATCTCTGGTATGCCCTAAAACAATGCTTTACATGCATTTTATTATTTAGATACTATTATAATGCATTTTATTATTTAGATACTATTATCATCCCATTTTATAAATGTCAGAAACCGAGGCTAGGGAAGTGAAGAAATTTGCTTCCAAAAATATTAAGTAGCATAGCCAGACACAGGGTTTTAGTTGTGGCTTTTTATGAAGCAAATAGTTATTCTCAGTAACACAAAATCAAAATTAAAGTTTGCTTTGTATAAATTAGATTGGAATATTTATATATCAAATACATGCAAGCACCTCTGACATTCTCAAATCGCTGGTAAACAGAGCTATTGAAGTGGAAAGTAAGTTATAAATACAAGAGACAGTGTTGGTACAGTGTATCATGTGGCCCAACTCCTCATTTGATTAAATCTGAATGCTTAAATCTGCATGGAAGAGAAGCTAAATGATTTGCCAAATCATTTTGGCAGCTAGCACCAGCAAGAGGCAGAATTGGTAATGAAAGTCTGCAAGTACTGCCTTTACTTGTTTACTGCACATCACTTTTTAAGTGTAATATGAAATATATGCATAATGTTTCAATTAATACCAACCTTGACATCAATTATTTGCTTGGAGAATTGTTTTGATGTTAATGACTCAAACTATGGCTTAGCCTTTAAGATTCCTGAAGCAGAGTATTATGCTTTAAAATTTGCCCTCTAAAACAACATTAGGGTAAACAGTCATTAAATGCCTATCCATGCTTTCAGGATCATAATCAAAGAATGAGTTAACCCTCATTGTTCCAGCAATTTTCCTAAAATTCCAAATTCCAGTATTTATTAAAGAAGCTGATTTGCTATAATACTCATGTAATGGTAGTACTTTCCAAAAGATATGAAACATAACACTCAGTCTTTCTATATAGCTTTAATTTCATACCTCTTCTATTTTCAAACACTTTTTCCCTCCTTGCCACACAAACATCTCACCTCCAATTCCTGTGGCCCATTACTTACTAGCAAACCTTGGGCAAATAAGTTACTTAACCTCTCAGTTACTCTGTATCTTCAGGAAAAGAGGGATAGTTAAGGACCCTCTTAAATGTTGAAAGGCTGAAATGATGACATAACGCATTTGAAAGTATTTACATCAGTGCCCAACATATAACTAATTTCTCAAAACAAACTGTTTTTACTGCTGTGGTCACTGCCGTTTCCTAGTCCGTCTCTTCCAACACATGCAAGATATATGCGAAGCAAATAACTAGCACTTCCTTCTGAAGCATAAATCAATGTTTGCCCTTGAGTGGACAGACTGCTCAATCTCAAGTGGCTTATCCCCAAGATCTCTTCCATGAATATGTAGTCTCTTTCCACTCTGATATCATAATGGCATCTGACATGACCTTAAGAGCTGGATATATCTAATGTGTTTTTCAATAAATAATAATGCCCACTATATTATTTCAATGTGTCCTATCAACTGATATTCACACTCAGGTTTGGGTGTCAGAATTTAAAATCTTGGGTCATGTTGTTCTTAAATTTTCAGCTCACTTCAACTCATATTAAAATAATGGAGGGGCACCTGGGTGGCACAGTTGGTTGAGCGTCTGACTCTTGGTTTGGCTGGGGTTGTGATCTCAAGGTCGTGAGATCGAGACCTGTGTGGGGCTCTGTGCTCAGTGCAGAGTCTGCTTAAGATTCTCTCTCCCTCTGCTCCTCACCTCCCCCCGCCACACCCCACTCTCTCTCTAAAATCAATTAAGTCTTTAAAAAAAATAAAATAATGGAGTAAAAAAGGTCTGGATCAAAATATGGCTCAGATGGATACTAACAATGTGATCTTGGGTAAATTAAACTCTCTAACCTCAGTTTCTACATTTACCTAGTGGTGAAAATATCTACACTTCACAGAACTGTTGTGTTCTGTGAAATTAAGTATCATTTGGCACAGTGTCCAACAAGTAGTGAGCACATAATAAATTTTAGCCATTATTATCATTATTATCAGGAAGCACATGTAGTACAGACAATACTCCTCACATAGAACCTTTCTAACTTCTTATAAAGTACCTATTTTGGGGGTGCCTGGGTGGCTCAGTCATTAAGTGTCTGCCTTCAGCTCAGGTCATGATCCCAGAGTCCTGGGATGGAGCCCCAGGTCAGGCTCCCTGTTCAGCGGGAAGCCTGCTTCTCCCTCTCTCACTCCCCCTGCCTGTGTTCCCTCTCTCTCTGTCAAATAAATAAATAATATCTTTTTAAAAAAAGTACCTATTTTCATAATGTTAAAATTGGAAAAATAAATTACAGTTTGTATTTTAACTGAAATTGTATTCATGTGCACTAGTATAAAAAATATATATACTCTTCCATTAAAACAGCAAAGAAAGTTAACTTTTATGTTTATCAAGTTCCAAACCTAAGTGCAAAGTACTCAGTCACCATCAACAGTGCCTCTCTATTGTACTATTCGATTTAAGATTAAAAGTGATTTGTTCTAGAACTCTTTCAATTATTCTAACTGAAAAGGCAATTCTGAAATATCCTAAATCACCGTATTTATTGATCAAAAATAAAATTACTGAAAAGAAGTACACCTCTAAAAGCACTTTTATTATATGCGGATTAATTCTGGTCTTCATGGTAAATTGATGTCCATTCTGAACTAAACACTACCAAAAATGCCTATTTAAGTAGAAAGAGCTCTATATTAAATCATGTCTGGTTGATAGCCATATAACTTCTTAGATTCTCTATCAAGTTAAAAATATATAAACAGCGTAAATTTATTAACAGCGGTGAGCTAATCTTAACAGGTGACAGAGAAACTTAACATTCTAATTTTAAATGCACCACTCTTGTTTTTAAAAACGTGTTCAAAATCAACTTCCTCCTGAAATGGAACTATGGGGGCTGCTGAGAACAAGAGATTATCGCTCCCTGCCATTCCCTGCCAGTTTGAACACATGCCTGAAGCCAAGCTTACTCACATGCACACACACTGCTGTGAACAGGGGTCAGTTATATTCATGGTGACACCCAGGCCAAAGAGATAGGAGAAAACAACTGACATAAACCAGAGGCCAACTGGGAAAAGAGGAACGTGGAAAACTCCGTGAGTCACGGGTTTTACTACCATGAGGGCACCATCAGCAAAACGGAGTTCACTAATACCAACTCTCTCAATCGTCATACACAATATTAAAGAATTAAACTATTCTTTAAAGATTTTTATTTTTAAGTAATCTCTACACCCAATGCGGCCCGAACTCACAACCCCCCCCCCCCCCCCCCCATCAAGAGTCCCATACTCCAACCGAGCCAGCCATCAATTAGACTACTGATGTAGTTCATTCAGATCTCGGGAAGTGCCTGTGACACCTACGCAACCTCGCCCTTTCCTCCACCCCTTACACCGCCCACCTTCCCTCAAATAAGGACAACGGCAGCAGACAGGCTTCCCTAAGCACCACGTAATCCACGCCCACATGCCTGGGCCGAGCAGCATGACACTGACAGTTTTCCGTCTCTCCCGACCGGTCCAATTCGTGGCGCCTCCGCACAACTCAGACAAAAAGAGATGGACAAAATACTCCAAGCGACAGCTTAGCGTTTAACCTTCTGACCCTTCGTCTCGACATAGGTGGGGCCAAAGAGCCTATGCTCAGCTCAACCTATTCACCCCCCGGACTCTCTGAGAACAAGGCTGGGAAACTACCTCCCCTTTGCAGGAGGTGGGGGCGGATGGTGGCCAAAAGGGTTCTCTATTACTCCAAAGTCACCCCTGGCACTTTGCTGGGAAATCAAGGAGAGCAGGAGGCGACGTTGGTCAGCGCGCAGCCCTGCGGGAGTCGGACTAGCAGCCGCCGCAGAGCTCTCAAGCCACTCGGAATGGGGCGGGGGCGCCCGGGAGAGGCAAGCAGGGAAACTGGAGCTATCTCCCAGAGAAGAGCTCAGGGCGCTTCCCCCCTGCCGAGCCCTCCCAACTGCCCTCATTTTGAACGTTTTACCTGCAAGAAGCGGGCAAAGCCCGGCGCTTGCGTCCACGTCTGCCAGCTTCGGCGGCCACGGCGCAGCCCGCCTCCGGAGCAGGCAGCAGCCGCCACCGACAGAGCTATGGGCCCGGCCAACTCCTTCCCATCAAACCCCGCGCTCCCGCCGCCGGCCAATCAGCGCCACGGCCGGCGCGCGCCGCTCCCCGGTCACGTGACTGTGACCCGGGAGGGCAGTTGGGGCGGGCCGGCGGGGCGGTTGGCCTGAGGGCGCTTGTCCTTCTGGCTTCCGCGGCTAAGTAGGGTGCTCATCGTCGCGTCTCGGGGGTGTACTGCCATTTATTATGAGTCTTACCACTACTGTTCCTTCTTTTCCTCTGCCTCCTCTTATTCTTTGCAAGCCTGTTCTCCCAACTCTCACTGGAGAAAGACAACCCCGAAACTGATCCTGGTGGTCCTAGACCGCGGGGAGAGAGACGAGTGGGGTTGAGGGTGGAGATGGGTGCGTCTGGCAAGGACTCTTCCTTAAAGGATCCCACGATCCGCTGTCATGCAGCCGGCCGCAGAGCAAGTTAATACTACCACACAGCTTAGAAGAGGCCGGTTCCCAAACAAAACGTTGGAGAAAATTCAGCCTAGACTCCAGAAGTGCTTGAGGATTTAACTCGTGGACGTCAAAAAGGGTCATTTGATGACAGGACGCTTACCTCACCCGTGTGTGGTAAGCTTCAAATGCCAGATGATGATGATTTCAAACCCTTGGATAACATAAGCCGAGTTTTCTATTCTAAAACTCTGAACTCAAGAATACGTCCTTCACAGGTCGTGATGCGTGGGCCCACAAATAAACCACACAGGCTGCATGCACCCCAGATTTGAAACATTGGCTAGAGAGCGTTCGATTTCCTAGTCACCTGGAAGTGGAAAGTCTAAATAACAAAAGATCTTGAACCACACAAGGTAAACAGTGAAGAAGGGTTGAAAAGCAAGCAAAAGCTTTGGTCATAGTTTACCTCTGGGACATGTTTTAACCCTTTGTGTCAACGTTTTTCATGGGGTTTTTTCTGTTTTGTTTATTTACCTACATGTTTTTAAATTTTCCATTGTTTTTGAAGAGTGGCATTGTTTTAATGTGCTACATGTAAACTTTGACAAAGCAACCAGGTAAGGTAAAGTAAGAAATTGAGCATAGGATCTAATTGGTAAGAATAATATATTATACTGGAAGCTACCAGATAATTCACTGTGGAGTTGTTTGTCCTCACTGTTAAATCTTTAGTTACAGCTTTGTAAGCTTGAAAGGATGAAGGGAAGGCTGGACCAAAGTTTACTTCTTGTGCACTCTGGGTCAGGTATTTTACAAATCTAGAAGAAAATAGGAAAACATTTCATCTATTTTGATATGAAAATTTGACCATTTCATTTTTAATCCTTTGCTATTTCAAAGCATGTTTTTAAAAGGCCTGTGCAGTTAATGCAAGTATATCTCCTCACTTCAGGAGTATCCTTTCCTAAGAGAACAGGGAAGAAATATTTTCTACTTGCTAGTGATTTGTTCTCTAGTTTTAACTGAGCCATCAAGGTCTGTTGTAAAGGGGGAAAGAAACAGAGTGGGGGAAACAAAGAAGAACTAGCCAGGTGCCAGATATCCCAAAAACCTAATCCTGAGACAAAATTCCTAGGTAATTACTCCGGAAGAGGAGAGACTAGTCCTGGGAAGGGGAGGGTGAGATGTATTGAATCAGCACTTTTAATCAAACAACTTTTTAGGTATCATTTTTCAGATGGGGAAATTGAATAGAAATATGTATATTGTCGAAAGTAACACTATACGTCTGCCTCCTTTATATTAAGCAGTTTGTCAGGCAGTGAAGGAAGACCAAATATTTATTGAGGACAAAATCCTGTGTTAAGTGTAAGGATGCAGAAATAAATAGTAGAGCTGCCCTAAAGCAGCTAACACTAGCGAGAGAAACCTTCAAGAAAACAAACCAAAAAATACAGGGTAAATAAGTACTATGATAGAGGCAAATGTTCAAGAGAGTGAAAAATGAGAAAGCAGCAGCAGCCAGAGGGGATATGGGAAAACCAATGAAGGTGGTGCTTCAGCTGAGTCCAGATATTAAAGAATTATTCCCTACTAATCCTAAAACTGTCCTGGGGTAGATTCTAAAAAAGTGAAATCAGGAAAACACCAGAGGGGGCACCCAGGTGGCTCAGTCATTAGGCGCCTGCCTTGGATTCAGGTCGTGGTCCCAGGGTCCTGGGATCTAGCCCTGCATCAGGCTCCCTGCTCAGCGGGAAAGACTTTCTCTCTCTCCCATTCCCCCTGCTTGTGTTCCCTCTCTTGCTGTGTCTTTGTATGTTAAATAATAAATAAAATATTTTTTTTTAAAAAGGAAAACACCAGAGAAGATGAGAAAGGAAACAAACTACTCTAGTTAAAGGAATGCTGAAAGGTCTAATTCAACAAATAAGTAAACCACAGTTATTTAAAGGAATAAATGAAAATTGCAAGACATAGGTTCTATGAGAGCTTATAAGAGGGTCATTCATTGAACTGGTCAGAAACATTAGGGAAAAAAATTCCTTGAGGAAGTCATACTGGATTGGAGATCTGAAGGATGAGATACTGAAAAAAGAAGAAAAGGAAACCGAGAACATCATGTCTAAAAGACCTTTCGTCAGGGAAGAACACTGCAAGCCTGAGAGACTGAAAGCCCAATGATGCTAGCACAGAGAATCACAGACAGCGTTACAGTATGAAGCTAGATACCAGACCTTGCCGACCATGCTGAGACAGCTCATCTTTTTCTTGAGAAACAGAGAATGGAATTAACCTGAACAGATTTGTGTTTTGTGAAAAGCTCATTCCAACTGCAATGGGGAATGTGAACAGGGCCAATTAGGGTCGATGGGTGGTAGTTCGTGTTCGTGGTATTTCAGATGGATTGGGGTGGGAACAAGGAGATAAAGACAAGTGGAGAAAATGGAACAATTTAGGAAGTAAAATAGTAGATTTGAAGATGGAATTAAATATCGTGGGTGATGTGGAAATATTGGGGTTATGAGCAAATGGTCAAGAAAGAATTCTTGAGGGGCTCCTGGGTGGCTCAGTTCTTAAAGTGTCTGCCTTCAGCTCAGGTTGTGATCCCAGGGTCCTGGGATTGAGCCCTGCTTTGGGCTCCATGCTTGGCAGGAAGCCTGCTTCACCCTCTCCCAGTCCCCCTGCTTGTGTTCTTGCTGTGTCTCTATCAAAATCTTTTTTATAAAAAAAGAATTCTTGAGACATCTTTGGTGCAAAAAGGTGGTTTTATTAAAGCACAGGGACAGGACCCATGGTCAGAAAGAGCTGGTAGGAGGTCATGAGGGGTAGCTGGTTACAAACTTTCAAGTTGGGAGGGAGTTAGGGACAGTACAAGCCATCAAGGTATTTTGGAAATAAGGTTTCCAGGACCCTGAGGGGGCTAGCTATTGTTAGGAAAAGGTCATTTATTACTGTTATAACTCAGTCATGAGACCCTTCAGATGAGTATCAGTAGGGCCTTATGCTTGGAGTATGATTGCTAATATATATGTTGAGGGGTAGAGATAAAGGAATTTTCCAAAGCAATCTCTGTATGTTAAAAGTATATATACTCATAGGATCCTGGGGGGGTCAGGCTAAGATTGCCTTTTGCCCTTAGCAAAGTGTCAACATCGAGGAAGCTGAGCTCTTAGAGGAAGGTTACTCTGCCTGTTTCAAGGACTTGTCAATGGGATGTAAATAGTACAGAAATTTAATTCTTCTGCTTTTGTTACCCCCATCAGTGAGGTGGACTGGGGATTATATTTTTTTATTTTAAATTTTTTTTATTATGCTGTGTTAGTCATCATACAGTATGTCATTGGTTTTTTATGTACTTTTCCCAGATTCATTGTTTACATATAATAGCCAGTGCTCCATGCACTCCTCCTTAATACCCATACCCAGGCCAACCCATCCCCCCATCCCCTCCCCTCTAAAACCCTCAATTTAGTTTCTCAGAGTCCACAGTCTTTTCTGGTTTCATTTCCCCCTCTGATTTCTCCCCTTTCACTTTTCCCTTCCATTCTCCGAATGTCCTCCATGCTATTCCTTATGTTCCACAAGTAAGTGAAACCATATGATAATTGACTTTCTCTGCTTGACTTATTTCACTCAGCATAATCTCCTCCAGTCCCATCCATGTTGATACAAAAGTTGGATACATCCTTTCTGATGGCTGGTCCATTGTGTATATGGACCACTTCTTCTTTATCCATTTGTCTGTTGAAGGGCATCTAGGCTCTTTCCACAGTATGGCTATTGTGGATATTGCTGCTATGAACATTGGGGTACATATGGCCCTTCTTTTCACTACATCTGTATCTTTGGGGTAAATACCCAGTAGAGCAATTGCTGGGTCATAGGGTAGCTCTGTTTTTAATTTTTTAAGGAAAACTCCACACTGTTTTCTAAAGTGGCTGCACCAACTTACATTTCCTCCAATGGTATAAGAGTGTTCCCCTTTAATTTTAGCCATTCTAACTGGTATCAGATGGTATCTCAATGTGGTTTTAATTTGAATTTCCCTGATGTCTACAGCCATACCACACTGAATGCACCTGATCTCATCTGATCTCAGGACCTAAGCAGGGTTGAGCCTGGTTAGTACTCGGATGGACTGGGGATTAAAGGAGAGGAAAGAGTCTGAGATGATGGGATTTCTGCTAGGCATGATGGGTTGATAATAATGCTATCACTAAGATATGGGAAACACTGGAAGAGAGTTGGGTTTGAGGGAAGATGGTGATTTCATTTTGAATTTGTTGAGTTTAAGATGTTTTTGTGACTTCAAGGAGAGAGATGACATGTAAATAGATCTATTGTCCAGCACTGAGAAGTCTGGGCTAGAGGAAAAATATATATATTTTACAGTTTGGAATCTTTCCTTTTCAACAAGGTACTTATTTTTTCAAAATGTAAAAAAAAAAATACTATTTATTATAAATAAACATTTTGTTTGTAAATACACTATGGAAAACAAAATAAAAGGTAGAAGTCTTTAAAGCTGTTTCCCAGAATTCTCTGTGAATCACCTGGGCCTTGGTTTAAAAAACAAATTCTCAGGCCCCTTCCCTGGAGATTCTAATTCTACATGTCTGGTATGGAGCCCAGAAATTTGGATTTTTAACAAGTGTCTCTGGTGACTCTTCTTACCAGGAAGTTTCTCTGGGCAATGGTAGTCAGTACCAGAGGCCACCTACATAAGATTTATCAAGGCACTTAATAAAATAAAGTGGGCACTCTTGGGGCAGCTGGGTGACTCAGTCAGTTAAGCATCTGCCTTCGGCTCAGGTCATGATCCCAGGGTCCTAGGATCAAGCCCCGCATCAGGCTCCCTCTCACTCTCCCCCTGCTTGTGTTCCCTCTCTCTATATATGTCTTCCTGTCAAATAAATAAATAAAATCTAAATTAATAATAAATAAAATTTAATTTAAGAAGACTCTAGGGCCTGTGGTAGAAGGGATGAGAGGAATGGAAAAAGGGAGATTAAACTACAGTACCAT